TGTCCCGCCTGCGAGCGCTCACACACGTCATCCAAATAATCGTCCTGCTTATCGCCGCTTGATAATGGCAAACCGTAGCGGCGCGACTTGCAGACACACCTTTCAGTGCTCGACGTTGTGGAATGCCGACCTACCGTGGTGTTGCAGACAGTCTGTCTTGTTTTTTTTTAGGCTGAGGGGAGGAGCGGAGAGGAAGGAAAAAGCTATAGGTAATTTTAACAAAGAAGAAAAAAATAATGGTTTAGGGGAAGAAAAGGGGGAGGTTGTATTATGACACCGTCCGAAGAGATGGACGTGCCCGTCTGGCCCTCATAATGGCACCCCGGGAGATATGACAGCGAATTCCTCCGTCGTGACGCGTCGGCACCACTTCCGTCTGTGTACTTACGTGAATGGTGGCCCTGTCTGTCCTAGCGCCTGGGGTTTATTTTTGACTGTGCCATGTGATGGGGTTTGCTTGGGTTCTAAAAGGCTTTGTTTATGGCCGCTCTTGTTCTTGTGATTGTTGCTGTGATATTTCTTTGTCTTTAGTGTTGTTGATGTCTCACTAAAAGTTCACTCTTCTTACCCTTCGCTCGTTGAAATGCGGATCATTTTCCTTTTATTGCGCTAGTGCAGGCTTCATCAGAATTTGAAAAGAAAACACTGTGAGTATAAATCCCATTTCTGGCCTCAGATACAGCCACACGTGATCACCTAAAACTAAAGATGTTCTTTCCTTTCCTTTCAGGTTGGTGTGTGTGCTACTTCCCAGGGGAGCTGCAGGGGAAGTGGGCCACGCAGGGTACGACGAGCCGGGGCGCGAGGGGATCGAGGGCGCCCATATCCTACCAACACATAACCATCACGGCCGACCTGGTGCTGGAGTGGGGCACCTGCCACGCGCGCGTCGATAACAACGTCATTCTTACCGACAGGTACGGCGGCTCCCGGCCCTGCGGGCGCGGTCTGCGAAGTGGATTTGCTTCCTTTAGCCACGTGCACGCAGAGGGAGGGAGGGAGGGAGAGAGGGAGAGAGAGAGAGAGAGAGAGAGAGAGAGAGAGAGAGAGAGAGAGAGAGAGAGAGAGAGAGAGAGAGAGAGAGAGAGAGAGAGAGAGAGAGAGAGAGTAAGAGAGAAAGAGAAAGAGAAAGAGTAAGAGTAAGAGTAAGAGTAAGAGTAAGAGTAAGAGAAAGAGAAAGAGAAAGAGAAAGAGAAAGAGAAAGAGAAAGAGAAAGAGAAAGAGAAAGAGAAAGAGAAAGAGAAAGAGAAAGAGAAAGAGAAAGAGAAAGAGAAAGAGAAAGAGAAAGAGAGAATGAGATAGAGAATGAAAATTAGATAATCATATGTCTACATGCATATATACACATTCATGCATACAAACATGCATGCCTGCATACATACGTACGTACATACGTTCATATGTTCATACACACACACACACACAAATGCACGCACACACACACATGCACGCACACATACATACTCACACACACATACGTAGAAAAGGTATGAATGAGAACACACACACACACACACACACACACACACACACACACACACACACACACACACACACACACAAGACAGTACATGCGTATGTTCATACATACATACGCTCATACGTACATAAGCTAATACATACATAGGTTCATATACAAATACGTTCATACATACATACATACATACATACATACATACATACATACATACATACATACATACATACATACACACACACATGCATACATGCACACACACACAACACATTTGTTCCTATAATCACGTGCTCATGCACGTACCATATATACGTACTTTTATAAATACACATTTGCACACAAGCATGTATGAAAACATATATGAATAATGTATATGGGTTTGCATACGTACATACATGCAAAAAATACATGCATACGTGCATTCATAGATGTGCGCACACATACATATAGAAAAAGAGGCAGTCAGACACGAGAGGTAAAGAGATTCCCTCACGCACTCGCTTCCCTCCCCCCCCTCCTGAAGCCTCGCGTCGAAGGTGAAAGTTGCGAGATTCCCAGGGTAACCCCCCCCCTTTCCACAGGACGGGCGGCACGACCTGCTTCCGGTGCATCAGCCTCAACGTGATCTCGCCCAAAGTGGTGCAGGTGTGGACGCTGGGGATCAACGCTTGTTACACGAGCGAGACCGAGGCTTTCTCTACCTGCCCGCCCGCGCCCGCCATCGCCACCCGACACGCCCGCGAAATCATGCTGTACAGTACGTGCTTGTACTTTCTCCCGTGTGCTTGCATGCTGCAAAGGCATACTCTAAAATGTTTGATAGTCATGATGTTTTACACGCAACGTCCTGTTCTCAGATAAAATCTGGAACTGGATTTCGCAAGAGATTCTACTATACCCATACTCGTACTGTTCACGGATCAGCAAGATGAGTAAAACAGTGAACGATAACCACCCACTTCCGTGTGTGTTTTCCCCTCGCAGAAGTGAAGTCCGACTGGGACGAGCCCGAGCTGCCCATCGAGTGCCCCTTGAACGGCCGATACCGATTCACGTACCGCCGCGGAGGGAACGGCGTCACGGCAGCGTCTTGCGAACAGCTGACGTCCGAGTTCTCCAACTGCCCCTACGGCTTCGGGTTCAACGTCAACTACCGCGACTGCTCCGGTTCCGGCCTTCAGCGTAAGTGTACTCTTTCATGCTTTTTGTGTTCCCCGGTGTACTGTTTTATTTTCCTTTATTTTTCGGATGTGTCGTACAACATCAGGAAAGTGATTTTGTAAGTCGAAAAATTAAATTTACATCTGCAACAAAGAAAGCCCATGAAATGCAGAATAAATGTATCCCCCAACTCTTACGGCCATAAATGGCGGACGAGTGGCCCGTGGGCATCCCGCCCAACACCGAATAACCGCACGCTGCATGTTGGCTCCCCAGGAACGGATCTGCAGTGCCTGGGCTCGTGGGTAGGCGAGGACGGCAAGAACTACCTGGCCGTGCGAGACGCCCGAATCAACGACGGAGACCCCGAGCCGCAGTACAGGTGTGGGGTGAGTATCCCTTGGCCGTCTGAGCCCCGACCTGCTGTTCTTCCAGGGACCTTGTAGCATTATTTTCGTTGTAGGAGTAAGCCATGTTCTAGTCTTTCGGCCGGTTAAAGTTTTGCAGTATCACGTTTTGAAATGATAAAAACGGTTGTGCTTCGACGTGTCACGCCTCTGGTGCTTGCGGTCATACAGCTCTAAGTATGTGATGTTGTAACGAAAGAAGACATATTGTAGTTATTGCCATAAGTTTTATGTAAATATTACGATGAAGCATTAACGAGCTGCACGACCCGTACCGATGGAGGACTCTCTCTGCGCCACTCATACAGAAAAATACTGCTCTAAGTGTAACGAACCATATGACAAGTACCGATCACATTGTACTAATGCGTTACAAGTTGTCACCGTCGGTACAGAAATGTCAAAAATCGTCATTGAGAGCAATCAGTGAAAGTTGGAGAGGTAACAATAAGAGGAAGAAGGGGAGGGAGAGGGGAGGGGGGTGGTGTCTGACGCCTGCCTGCACGTGCGTCACACTTACATGCTCCTGTCACGCTTCTCATGTCACACGTCGCACTCAGGGGGTAATGTTGGAGGCGATAAACATGTAATCGGTGGAATGCAATTTGACAAGGCTTTTTCGCATCACGTAATCTGTGACGTTAGTTGTTAATGAGTCTGTTGCAGATACGGCAAGGAGGAGCAAGAGGCCTGTTTAAATATGCAATTGAAGGAAGAGCCAGCTTTTAGCGTTTGAAATAATACATGGCGCCAACAGCATATCGTGTCAGCCAGGGACCCGTTGTAGTGTAGACTATATGAGACTGAGACATTCGTTGACAGTGGCGAATAATAGTGTGAGCGAATAGTAGCGGTGAAATGGAAGTATGGTGACGGAGGTAGAGAGCATGGTGTAGCAAGTTATCAGAGCGTGGAAGAGCAGTTCTAGCACTGCCTAAATCGCGCCTTTCATGTAACGGCAGGCTGTAACGGGTATTTATCAGGTGCGAGATAAGGAGGTTGGTCCGTGGCCTGTGGTAATTTTGTTCCGAAAGTTAGTCACGCTAAAGTAAGGGAAAAGTAGAGTAGACTGTAGAGGCGATTATGTGTAGCGAAATTGGAAGATCTGGAGCGTCACTGATTCCTATTGACAGCCCTCTACATTAAGGTATAATTCAGAACGTAAGATAATTTATTCCCGACTTGACTGTGAGTCATTTACACCCCCTTCGCGATCAGCTTCCCACAGTATAACAAGTATCGGGTGAGGAGTATATTACGCATTCCTGGCCAGCAAGTTTAACGTTATACGTGGCGTCGGATCCAGCGTACTAATGCGCTCTCACTTCCGATTCAGCAGTATCAGGCACCAGAGGATGTGTATATAGAGAATAACTTTCTTTAGAACATTTCTGTTCTCGTCGGTTCGCCTTGTGACAGAGACAGTGTATACTCATTGACCGAAGAGATAAGGTATATAATTTGGTCTAATTACAAGCCAGTCTCAAGGCAACTCTCGACGATAAATCACGGTACATAAGCATGACGTATGTCTAATGTCTTTCCTTCACAGATGTTCCTGGAGGAGGCCGGGACGGGCAGGGTGTTGCTGGCCTTCAGCGAGGATTCCACCTGCATCAACGGACTCAACTCTGCCTCCGATGGGTAAGGGGCTTCTCTTTAATACTCTTTCGAGGCTTTCTTCGTGTGCTGCCGCTTTGATGGTGTCAATCAAAACTCTTCATTCGGTGTGAAGCGATGCGTTATCTTTGACATTTCTTAGACATCAATTTTATTTAGTATCGAGAACTCACTTTCTTTTTTCCTTCTTCCATAGCTTCGAAACCTACGACCTCGCATCGTACTCCGCCCCCCCGCTGCCCCCTCAGGTGACGCAGGCCAACTGCACCTTCCCGCGGTCGCTCTTAGGCTATTGGCACCACACCTATGTGGAGGAGAGGACCATCATGTTCAAA